TGGAATTTTTTGGTTCGCTTTGTTAATACGGTGCTGAGCTGCTAGCTGATTACCTCAACAGTCGCTCTGTTCTGTACACGGCAACTTTTAATGGATATGAAATCATAGCTGTAAAAATGCAAATCTTGAGGTGTAGCCCATCCTGTAACGTTGCCCCTATCAAGTATTTTTTGATGTAAATGTGGACATCGGCGAAGCGGAAATGGTCAAATCGCTATTCAACATCTGTCTGGCGGCTGTTTGCCGCCATCAGTTGTACGGGTACGTGGCCGATTTGCCTACGTCTTGTAAACAGCGCCTCCTCGAATTCTTCAGCTCTCATGATCAGGTAGTTTTGCATGTAATATCCGTATACATCAAAACTTACACTTACATAAATCCGTCCAGAATTTGCACAGTGCTGGGATCTTCTCTGGAAGAATGTTGGAATATTTGCTATGCGTACTTCGAAGTCAAAAAGGCAAGCCGAGAAGAGAATTGAGCTTTCATACTACGGAACTCTCCCAAGAATTTCGAAAGTTTTTGCTACTGAATTCGAGTTCCGTACATCACGTGAGGAAAATAAACACATAACGAAAAGATAATCCGCCTGGAAAGTAACATCCGTTATTGTGGCTTTTTGAAGAAGCCATATTTCTAGGCTTTTTCAGAATGTCTAGGAGCAAGCCGATTCAGGAGCAATTTGTGCTCTAGAGTCTTACCCCGCTTTGTTAAGTTAAAACCGGATGCCAATCTCATTTCCATCAAAAAATCGATCTGCTGTAGTAACAAGTAAACGACTTTGCAGCTCTTCCTGTCGGAGTGTGCTCGAATTGTATCATCAGCATCATTCGGAAGGAATCTCACCGAACTACGCTTCTATTTAAGCGACCAGTTAACGGACAATATTCTGGAAGCGATTGCTGCTCACAGCCGTGCGCTGCAACAAATTGCGATCATTTTCTGCCAGAATGTTTCGGACAAGGTCCCCTTCTGTACTTTCAGAAAACAGTCACTTGCACGAGAGTGTCTTTTTGCTAATTAGACCAAAACTTTCAAATCCCAAACTAAAATTCTGTAGATTTTGAGAATGACGTTGTTAATTTTGACTGAAGGCAGCAATTAACTACAAAATCGCAGACTTTTGTGCGTTTCTGCGTGTGTGTAAATGCAAAAACGCATATTGTAACGACCCATGGTGTGTGTCTGTGTCTGTGTGAGTGTGTGTGTGTGTGTGTTGCGAGGGCATCCTATCCGAGATTTTCAAATCGGGGATTAGAAAACTAGGAATCAGAAGTTCTAAGCTAACGTTCCAAGGCCAATTGCGATCCCGAAAATTTAAATTCATCCATTTACGCTTTACTTCATGTACGAATGCTGACAGCCTTGGCGCGAAATTTCCTGCCTCGGGAACTTGCAAGACGAAAAGCTTCATCCCTCCGTACAACTCTGTGACTTCAGATTTTGCTTTCATGTACGCTTGTGTCTCAGTTACTGACACGTAGAATTTCGCGCGGTAATCTTTGGTTTGGGAACCAAACACTACAGAAAGACAATATTTTTAAAGAATGTTTTTCTTCGTATGCGATCTAACAAATTCAAATCCAGCTTTTCCGAGCGCCTACTTTTCATGTACTGGCATGTGGAATTATCGATGGGAAATTTCGTAGCTCGGAGGGCAGACAACATTTCGATTATTTTTGTACAAATTGTGAAGTAATGGACATACCTGACAGCAAACGCCCGCTGCGCTGAAACGCGCAAAGCGCAAAATCAAATCGACTATCCTGGTGCGCGACATTAAATTTATTTTTTCTGATTAATAAAAGATGAGAATTGCAAATAGTGTTGCTTTTTTCAGGGTATAAGGGCGATTACTAATGGGCAGCGAAACCTCGAAAAGTTGGAATTTCGAGCACTGAAAAAACTGACATCAAATGGCCTATCACTGATCAGTTCTGATTTCCTGCACTCGGTGGATCTCAGCTCCTGCACACAGGTTTCTCCCCTCGTCGAGTAGTGTTAGCTGCAAGGATAATATCGCTAGTTTCTCATGCTTGAGAAACCCGTATTTCAGATATGCCTCAGCCACTCAGCTCTCGTTTCTCCCTCCCCCTGTCCCCCGCCTCCTCCTCCCCCTCCCCACCTCCTGCGCCACCCTCCCGCTCTCACCGTTTGCTGCTTCGTTGCACCCATTCTACCCTCAGCACCAAAAGCACCTTCCCAAATTAAAGACTTTTGACAACCAACATTTATCAGAAATGAGGATGAGTGAACCTAAAGTTCGAGGATGGTGTAGCGGTTAATGCGCACCACTACGAAGCTGGCAGCGAGGGATCAGTCCCTGAGTGTGTCTTGTGCAGCCCAATGACGATTTATAAATGACGAGTCTAAGCCGCGCTTGCGCCGCGAGGACAGTTCTTGCTCCCGCGGTGTTCAAACCATGCAGACAAAATGAGGCATTTGTCCGAGGGCTTTCGTCTGCCAAGACTGTTCTTGTGGAGTCGGCGGCCTCTTTTCGGCTTCCCGGGATTTTCGCTTATCGAAGCGAGGACTTTTTTCGGCAACTACTAAAACTCGGCTCGGCTCGGCTCGGCA